GGTAACGAGCTGGCCCCGGCTCGCAGGGGCTGGGGGACACGCGTGAGGGGGTGAACTCGTGGAGGCCCCTGGAAGCCGACAGGGACGGTGCCCTGTGCGCAGGGAGCCGGGGGTAACCCCAGGGGAAGCAAAGGGAGCAGACTGCTGGCAAGGGAGCGGTGTCACCAAAACCCAGAGTTGGCCCAGTTCCAGGCTTCGTTATCTGCAGAGAGATCCGGCGTGGTCCCGAGCCAGGGGTGTTGCTCTCGTACAGGTCCCCGCAGAAGGAGCACAAAGCTGCTGTACCTGCCCGCAGCAGCCCAGGCTCAGCTCAGCCAACGCCAAGAACAGAATCAGGAATGGACAGTCAGGGGAGGTGCCACACCTGCACACATTGAACTCTCTGAAGAAGAGATGCTGGCAGGTCTGGGGGGAGAGCAGAGGTCGAGGCGGCAGCCTGAGAAGCGCTGGACAGGCAGAATTTCTTGTTCCGAGCCGGCTGCGAGCCCGGCCTCACGCCACAACGGCTGCGCAGAGCCACCGACTGCGGCAATATTTCACGTATGACCCAACACTGGACCCAGTTTATCAATAACAAACTCCAGGCTACCAGAACTGCACGTCATACAACAGGCCCTTGTTACAGATACCAACACACGTCAAAATGGGCACTCTTATCATTAGCATGTAGTTACTCAATCTGCATAATTACATGTGGTAATCATGCTGCAGCATGTTTGGAAATGCTAGATCTCATTTTCCCCAGTAATCCCAAATCGTATTAATATCTTCTGTAGGAACTACTACTTTGGATGTTATGAATTAATATTAAGATGGAATTGAATTAAATGTACTGATTTTAATGTCATGAATGCACTCATAACTATTTTTTCCCCTGAGAACCATCTGCAATTTAGAGACTTGCTAATCCTAATTAAATGCACTTTTCTTAAGTGTGTGCAAATGAACAGAGAAATCTGCTCAGTAACGCACTTGCATATTTTCTTCTTTCACAAAGAGGAAGAAGAAACTGTTGTGTGATTTAAGATGAGATCTTCCTCGTCAGAGGAAATGAGCATTCCTTCTTCATGATTTCAAGACAGTAGTCTATGTAACTTAACTGGTAATTCATTAAAAGCATGGGAGGAAGATCCCTCAAACAAGTGTTTATAATGCTGATCTGAAGAGATCTGCGGAGAAACACCATATTCCAGTGTCTCAGGCAGTAGTTGAAGTCCTCTGATACTCTGCTCGGAGGCAACAAACAGAACTCAGCACCCCGCGGCCTATTACGCAAACTGGTCAGCATCGAGCCTTGTGGGCGCGAGGAGTGAGGAACCCGAGCAGACCATGGAGTCAGGAGCAGAGCTCACCAACCCCTCAACTACAGCAGCTTCATCCACACCAACAGCAAAAGGACGCCCTAGATGTATTCACTGGCTCCATTTCTTTTTTGTTTTGGCCTTGTCCCCAAAGAGAGTCTCAACCTTTCAATTAACCCTGCTTAGACTGGAAATAATAAAGGATTGGCGGGGAAAAAAGTTTTAGCAGTATTAATGCAGCTCACAACTGAGAAACAAATTCTATGACAAAACAGACATGGTAACACTGACAAAAACACCTTCAAAATCCCCCACTGCTTGCAGATGCAAGAGACTTGAAGCCTAAGACTTCTCAATCTTCAGTCAAGTATCCTTGCACTGGTTCCACACTTTTAACACCTCCCTCTCAGTCACTTACTGAGATTTGCTCTAATTTAACAGTTTGCATAGCTCAGGTATCAGTACAGCAACGCAGGCATCTGATACCTAAAGTCAGTGGAATACACATCTATTGCCTCCAAGTCAGTCTAGCTTATCGGAAACTACTAAAGGCAAAAAGGAGGACCCTTAGCACCAAGAAGCACTAAAGGAAAGCCATGGTTAATAGTAAAGATGAGTTGCAAAGCTCACACTTACTTCTTGTACGCTGTCTAGCCACACCGTCGCTCAGCACTGCGCAGAACACCACCCTCAGCCCCGCCAAACGTCATCAGTAGCAAGGCTCCGGTTTGCGCACCGCCCCTTGCAGAGCCAGTGACAGACCCACACAGCAGCTCGTTCTGTTCCTAAGCTCCCACTTCAAAAGCTGTGCTGTTGGGAAGGAGAAAAGCTTCACTCAAGGCAACAAACTAGTCTAACCTACCTCTACAAACGGCATCATGGCAACGAGTGCCAGCCTAGCACAGGAACCAAAAGCTTCACCTGTGATGTGAGCGAGGCTGTGGTCACTCCTACAAGTGCCCTTATAAATGCGGTTGACTTACACGGGGGATCTCATCTGATGGGCTCCCTTTGTCACGAGTTGCCTTTGGAAAGTCTTTCCCAGCCGTCTTCCAAGCTCAAGTTCTGAAATCTGGTCAGAGGTGGTGGTGAGGTCTGACACCTCAGCTGAGTTCCAGGAACATGGCATGTTTTCCAGAACATACTTGGTTTCAAAAACAGTTTAAGCCCATGCAAATGCTGAAGCCTCACCAAAAAAAGAAAAAAAAAAAATCCATGCTCCCTTCATAATTTTATTACCACAAAGAATGCATACAGTAACTCAATTTCCTTTCTTGAAGGAAAATAACTGAAAGAAGAAACAAAAGGTTTCCTATTAAGCCTCACAGACGGATCTTCTCGGAAGTGACTCGGTATTTTCATATAAGCAATTAAACTGGGCATGAATTTAGTTGGTTATTGGCAGGTTTTCCTTCTTCCCCTCCCACAGCAGTGCGAGTACGACGAAAGGTCAAGTGAATACGAAGTTTCAGGCAACTCATTTTAGGCTTTAAAAGCAAGACACAGAAGCCAGTTCTGCAAAACACCAAGTCTATATTTACATCAACATGTAATAACATACTCAACTAAAGTGAAATACATCATAAATTAAATGAGTAATGTGTGCCTACTGCTTGACAACTTCCGGTTTCAACAATTAAAATAAACCAAAATGGAATGAAATAAATACATAAACAAACAAACAAAAAAAATCAACAATTTGTACCTCTATATATGCACTGTTATTTCCAAAGAAACATACAAAACCAGTAGTATCCCAATAGTTAATACTGATGGGCAAAGTGTATTCTGAAGTACAGGGGTGTGCTGCCATGAAATAAGAGTCTTCATGTCCATTTTTCCATTCCAATCCCAGGATAACTACCAAAGCAAGCCTTGAGGGAAAGTGTACCAGCATGAAGGGAGATTAAAAACAAACAAACAAGTCTTAGGTCTGTTTGCTGAAACATCTTAAAAACCAGCCCCGTACATTTTAATCACAGAACCCCGTAAGGTACACAGACGATAGTTACTGCATGCATTCTATAAGACTCATTGAAAGATCACGCAAAAAAATAGATTAACCATTTCCAAGTGAATTCATCTTCAAAAAATAGGCTATAAAAGTGCAAAACTAGGAAAACAAAAATCTAGATTATGTACATATGGCTCAGCTTATGAACAGGAAAAAAGGTAAATAGTGTACAATTTCCTGATACACAGCACTTCATTACATCGCCAGTTTACAGAGACATTAAAAATAGGTCCCATATACAGGAACTAAGACATAAAACTGGAACATCTCAAGTTGCATAATGAAAAAACAAGAGTTTCTAGGTTTTGCTATTTTACATTTGCTGTATGAGGGAAGAGAGCAAAATGAACAGTGCAAAAATTTTCATTTTTTGTTTTACTAAAATATATGGAAGTCAAAGCCAGGTACAGAAGAAATTAACTCTTAACTACAGGCTTTATGAGAAGCAACGAGGAATGCAAGTCAAAAATATGCAATAATTCTGCTTTACTGGCTGGTAACTGGCCATCTTCCCTTTACAAAAATTAAACTGCATGTGCATTAGAAAAAACTCTTGTTGTCTTCACAAAAAAATAAAAGGAGATATTCTCTCATCAACAGGTTATTTCTCACTTACTTTAAACACCCAGTAAATGCTAAAACTCGACATCAAGAAACTTCCAAGCAGGCTACACCATAGCCACATCCCTTTTGAAGTCTGTAGATCCCATACTCATATTGCAAGTCTGTTTGTTTGTGACTTTACAGTTTGGAAAAAGGTGCAAAGCAGTTTTCCTCTAAATGTAACTGTACTGAGTTTAGTACAAAACTAAACATTTGAAACATTTAGATTAGTATCGTTTCTCACGGAAGTCCTAGGTATTTTCTGCTGTAAAAGTTTGTATAGATGTTCGTAGAGATGTTTAAGAGGCTTCTCTGAAGAACAGCAGCCAATGCCAAGAGAAGAATCCAACCGTATTTCAGGAACGCCATACTGAAATCCAAATGTCAAGTATTGCCTCATTCTTGCATTTAAAAATACGCTGGAAACAACCCGAGGAAACAGATCCCTCCAGCACATTATGGTCCTAACATATACAAGGCAGATCAGCATAATGTCAGCACCATTGCTTTGATGTTCACAACATTTATAAACCGGACAGTTTCAGACAGTTAATTTGGAAGTTGTTGGACAAAACTGACATCTTTCAACAGAAAAAACACAGATGAGAAACTTTCACCTTTATGAAAAAGGAGCATTAAGCCAACAGGATTTCAACTTCAGTATCTACAGTTTACCTGAGGTGCAATGATATATATATTCTTTTAAAGAGAAACTCTTCAGCAGCGCTCAAGTATGTAAAAATATAATTCCTACCTAATATTTGGTCAATTAAGTCTAATGAAAAATACTTAAAAGTCAATGCCAAGATATACATTCTCCACACACCTTCATAATCCAATTGTTTAGACTAAATTTTTATGGCTATTTGGTACAAAATGTTAACAGAGACAGTATTATAGAACTGTAGTGTTTTTATACACAGTACAATCACAGCTTAGTTCAGTAGCTTTCACCATCCATTCTTCCTCAAAGATGAACTGCAGGTATAACTCCATAAAACATGCACTTGTGTCCTTAGACCTAGGGGAAAAAAGAAAAAAAAATGTTTTGTGGTACACAACTATAAAATAGTACAAGATATTTTTTGTTGTGAGGAGTATCTTTAAAAGACAAAGGGAATTTCTTCCACACCCTTGCATAAGCGTGTTTAGAAATTGATATTGCCATATAAGGTCTGTGTCTTCTATCTGCCTAATAATAGCTGACAGTAAAGCCTACTTTTGAAGATACTCAAGCCCCAAGTAGAAATACAGGCAGGAAACTGAGTTAGCTTTAAAAAGCAGAACTGGACAAAAATATACTTAGTAGGGTGACAATAAAAGCAGCAAGATTAGAAGAATATCAAGCAATAAAACCAACTATTTTAAAAGCTGTCAACTAGATGTCAGATAGCTCTGCTCCCCAGATACGTAAAACCTTTCCATAAAACAGTGCATGCTGGTCCAGGTGCTATAGCATTCAAGAAGTACCTTCTTAAATTTGGATGAGAAAAATTATCTGTAGCTCTGGGTTTGAAAAAAGCATACAGATATATTTATTTGTAGTCTTATAGAGTACTTATCTCCTTAGCAGCTAAGAGTGTTGCAAACACAATGGGGTGGTTAAGTTCTGCGGTGCAGCTACAGAAATGAAGAGATGAAGCATGAGAATTCCGAACACCAGGCTAATTCTTTTCACTTGACCTGCTTCCCTAAGAGGCTACACCCACCCCTCAGTCAGACAAAGGAAAAATTATTTGTAACAACCTCTCCAGTATACCAAGATAAACTGTCAAGGAGCTATCAGGAAACCCTTACTTCTTTATGAAATAATCCACCAAAAAGAGTCTTGCTCTTTGAGGCAATGCTCGCAATCTTCAGAAGTTGTACAATGAGTAGTCTGCCTTTTCAAGAAGGACTAACCAACACAACCTCGCAGAGGATTCCTGAACTATGGTAACAGGCACTTCCGCTCATTTCTAGTTCTCCACACGATGTTCTCTCACCCCCATGTACTGACCTCAGGGGAAAGCCCTTTCATTGAACACTTCCCACCGGTATTGTAACTAATTAATACATTTATTTATTGTTAGCCCTTCCATTTCTTTTAGAAAAGGAGCATCTAAGTACTTTTTATGCAGGCCGTTACCACTATTCAAAATAACCAATGCTGCTACACCAGTACTTGGTTGACTTCGTAAGAGAGGGGGAATTTGTATTTTCAGCTGTTCTGGTTCAGACTTTCATAATCTCTCATCATGCTATGCAGCAGCCTTTGATGTTCTGAGTACATAATGCAACATTTAAATAACAGTTCAAAAAGCTTGGTTACCATTTGTTGAAGTAAATGATTAAGTCTTCTTGTCATTTGGTTGAAAGTGTGCGTTACCAATGAAACTTTCGTAACTTCGCTTTTGTAGCACACTGCTAGATAAGTGTTGGTATGACACCGATCTCTTTCCTGACAAAAACAAATTTAGAGGAATAGCATCCAGAATCCCAGAATACCACAGATGCTACCACAAATCATCTCACAAGCAAGGCCCAAGACAAGATATCCCTAGTCCTATTAAAAGATTGTATGAAATTCAGTATCCAGAACAAATACAAGAGGAATGACAAATATTAGTAACTTTGTTTTAAGCTGTATACACATGATGTCCATCTCTCCAGATTTTGCTCATGTTATTTGCAAGAAGTAAATATCTTAACTCATCACACAGCAGGCTCCTTTTTAATGTATAAGTGCTGCATTACAGTTTCTGTGTTTGAAAAATGAATTTTTGAATATGAGCATTGGAGAGGAAAACCAGGTATACTGCATATTGCCATCATAGATTATATGGCATTTGTGACACTTTAAAGAGTGTTAATATACATTTACTTGAAGACCTTTGTTAAGCAATTTTCTGTCTAGTATACAGGTAATTTCATGTTTACCCAAGACCACTAATTCAGATTTATACATGTGAAATCAATGCCTGTTCCATATCAAATCTTATTAGCTTAAACAGTCAAAAACAGTTCATAAAATTACGGAAAAAAGTCAAGAATCATTACTCCCACAGGATACAAAAAGCCGAACCGCCATCTATACACCATGAAAGCTTTAAATGCAGCACTGAAAAAACCTAGCAAGCTTTAATTAAATTAAAATGGTAAAGCTAAATTAATATTTCAACAGAATCTACAAAGCCATTGGAGTGTGTCATGAGCAATTGTCTTTAATTTGCAGCCTCTGCCAGATCAATCAGCCAACAGGTTATCCTCGATAGCACGTTGCCATTGCAAAGGCAACTAATTTGAAAATAACACAAACTGAGTGGTTTCAGAATGTTTCTGTCTCTTAAGGGCAACATCAAATGGCAGAGCTTACAAGCAATAACAGAAGGCATCATGCTTTAATCAAGTTTGCCAAGTGGAACATATTCTCATGACAACTTGATCCAGCATTTAACATGCGACATAACATGTTCATAGGACCTAAATAACGTTGCCACAAGGCACACAGGCCCTTAGAAAAGGTTTTGACATCATGTTTTATAATATCACCAGAGTTCAATAAAAAGACTACAGAAACCTGCAGGTCTATACCTGCAGTACTTGCATATGATATCTTACAAAATACATTTCTGAGACGTTGCAATTCTTCAACAAACAGTTGTACTTCAGCTTTTTAACAAAAAAAGAATTTGCAGAAACTTTCATCTTCACTGTCTCCACCCACATTAAAGCTCTAAATACTGAGAATTTTACCTGTCTGCTATCCTCCACCCTCTCACACAACTATCAAGGTTTGGGCTTGGTACTTCTGAGCAGAATGGTTGGAAAACTAGGAAATTAGCCTTAAAGGCCTACATTTTATTGCACGGAGCTTTATTGAAGTTGCTAAGAAAACCCACAGAGGGGATCTTGTTTCACACGTCTTTCCAATGTAGGTAACAGCCATAAAAAGTTGCTTTTCTTGCTCTAAGACAGCACTGTGTAACAAACAATGAAATCTTTATTTCCATGACAACAATACCGTCAAATTAGTTGCAGCCATAGTTTGGGAGCTCTAACAAGAAACAGTAGAAAGTTCTTGACTACAGGCTACTGCCTCCAGGCTCGTACCAAAGAAGAGGAAGAAAAGGCTACCACAGATTTTTCTGGCAGACAGGTGGAGCTTTCAAAAGAAGAACAATGTGGATTCCAACGAAGTCACTGTTTAAAAATAGTATTGCATCAACTGCTACTTCAATAGGTTAAACTCACCAAGACTACTGGCAAAATAAGAGAATTTCCCTATCCGAGATGTACAGTAATGCTGGAAAGGGGCAAGACACTGCCCACCATCTAGTCCTCAGGGTACAGATATTCTTGTCTAGCTGGTTGAAGCTGTAAGACTTTTTAACTTTCTCCTTCCTGTATTCATGAAAATTAATAGCGTTTTCTACATCAGGAGCATTCCTTCAAACTCCTGAATGTTCTATCTGCTCAACAAATAGCGATGTCATGGAGCACAAGTCCTCAGTCAGTGCAAATTAACATAGTTTAGTCCTTAAGGACAGTCATGTCCTCCACCAATTGTTGAGATCACATGTCAAGTTCTTAGCTGCTATCAACCATTAATTTAAAAAAAAAAAATCTTGCAAAGCGCTGTAAATTCCACAACTGCACAAATTACTTCTGTGCTCAGAAAAAACCCTGTATGTATTTTGTTCTCTCAGATCACTAGGAATCAAAAGACAGCAATAAAAGACAGCAATAACATTTGTCCTTCTGCCTGTCGCTCTGCATTCTATGCATAACCTGGTGCCCATTTTACATTCCTCATAGCAATTCATGGTACAGTTCATGGTACACAGACAACGCTCTTCACGAAACCCGGAATTAACTCCATTTCGCAGTCACTTCAGTGAGTCAACTGCGATGCTGGCTTTTCCTTTATCCACTACCTACCCAGCCTGGAAACAGAACTAACACTTTCCTTCATCCCTCCATAACTCACTAGCAAGCCTGAATATTTATGAAGCCCACAACCTTAAAACAAGTGGAAAAAACAACCAGAACAAATTTATCAAATACATTTTTTGCCACATAACTAAATGCAGATTTAGTATTTTGCAGTTCGCTCTGACCTAAGGTAGCACACCCCTGCTTGTTGTGAATCCAGACTACTTCAGAATAATCTTGCTGCTACCAGAGAATGGGAGTATTCACAGAGTTTAAGAACTCAGCAGAGACTTTCAGACCACACAGCACAGACACTATTCATTTTTATAATTCAAAATTCAGAGTCTTATATTTATAGCTAAGTCCATATTGACCTCAGCTTAAAGTCATAAATACCATCTTCTACAAATAGTCAGACAACTGCTTAAATATCATTTAGCACCTTTTAATCTTGGCCTCCTGCCAAGTTTTGAAAATGTTGACTAAGAACAAAACACAAAACGCATGTATGTCATAAAAGTACCAAAGTTTTCCAAATACATCACAAACATTTATCTCTGCTTAGGCCCAGAATTTTCCACAAAGCATTACTACTTAGTGCAATGAGACAACATAATTAGAAAAGAAGAAATACGATGTCTTCATTTAACAAATTATTCTGTTCCTACTAAAAACTACACATTATAAAAACCACTGAAGAACAGAGGTATAAGATTTAAATCATAGTTTTAGGATTTGTATTATCCTTTTCTGTAATTGAAGAGTACAATTGTACATGACAATTTTTTTTTTGTAAGAGGTTTTATTAATATTCCAGATGGTCCAAGACTTCTTGGATATTAAGCAAAAAGGCTCATTCTATATCCTGGATTAGGTAGCATGTCTGTAGTGCTCTGATGAGCAAACAATACATGCTTGCTATCAGAGACCCATGGCAGGGGGGAGGAGGGGATTTGAGGAACTTTAAATCCCTTTTTAAAATTCAGACCTTCCATGCCCAATTCCCCAAGCCAGGAGTCTGATGAACTTGGATTTTAAATTTAAAATCCAAGCATTGACTAGACTTGGTGAAATGCTAAGTACAGCTTCATTTGCTCTGTTTCAAGGTGGGTGCACACTTATTTATATTTCATTTGCCTTCCTTTGTAACGCTGTAAGACATTTAACTAGGAAGGGATACAGTACCTTCTACTGCAGAGCTGGTTACTTGGCCATTGCTAGATCCACAAGAACTGTAAAGTGATCCAGAGCTATATGGTTCATAGGGTTTGAGAACAGTCAATGCATTAGGCGGATCAACATCATCTGAATTCAGAAGCCCTTGTTTGGTTGGCAAAACAGAGGATGCAGGTTTGGTGCGAGAACATTCCTGAGGTAGCAGATTTGCATATCTGTTTGCAACACGAAATCTGCTCATTTCGTATCTTCTGTAATTAGCCATTGGAGAGTCAGTATGTTCCACAGCTAACACATTAGGTTTCATTCGTTTAGCAGATGTTTCACCATAATCTAGATTTACACTGCTCACAGGTTTACCACAATGATAGTCTCTTCCTCGATGAGAAGACCAGGCAGATTCATTTAGTTGAGAGTCGAGAGCCCCACTTGTACTGCTGCTCACTAAACTGGACTGAGACACTGGGGCACTTAGAGCTTTTACTTTAGATTCAGATCTTTTTACTCTGTCCACTACTGGAGAGATACTGGAACTGGAGTGCATTTCTTGCTGAGGTTGTCTATAGTTATTTGCCTGAGCTCCAATATTACTTTGCTGTTTATGAAACTTGAGGTTACTTGGGGCTGTGCTGCTTGAGTCAGCCACTGAAAAGAGAGGGACTTTGTTCTGTGGAGTGTGAGATTGTTTAGCTTTTCCTGTTTGCGACAGTTTTTGCTGTGTAGATGGGGAAGTCTTACTTTTATTAGAATTAAAAGACAGAGGAAGCACATCTTTACCAAGCAGAGCTGGAGGGCATCCAGTGCGTCTGGCTTTAGCTAGAGCCTTGCTTCTACAGCCATTTTTGTTAACGGTGTCAGGATTGTATTTGTGTATCAGCCTCTGGTGCATCATTAGGACTTCTGGGTAAAATGTTCTGTAAGTACAAAACGGGCAGGTTCTGGGTGCTAGCAGGTCTCTAGTTGAAGCCACTGAACATTCTCGTGAAGTCCCAACAGATAAGTCCAAAGGCTTTTCTTGAGAGTTCACCATACGCTTGCGTTCGTAGTTTTCAGTGCACTCTCGCACACCATTCACATTTTTTCCATCCTTTATAGCACAAACATACTGGACATCATCTCCCTCTGATCCCACAGAAGCCCCTCTCTCTCTTTTATGAGGAACATTGGGCTGAGCTTCCTTTGTTTCCTTCTCAGCCTTTAGTTTTTCCAGGTAAGGAGTGGACACATTCTCGTGTATTTGATTTGAATTGTTACAAACGAAACCTTTGTTCAACTCCCTAGAATTATTTTTCGTTTTTAAAAGGACTGTGCTGCCTATTGCATTGTTCAAGGACAGAACTTCCTTTTGCTGCTTGGTAGGTGGGCAGCCTCCAATATCTTTGGCACATTCAAAAAGCCTCTTCAAATTTTTGGTTTCTTGAGCACCATCAGCAGCCAGCAAGAGCGCCGTCTCCTGACTCTGTAATGAAACTTTGCTGTCACTTTTCATGTCTGCTGCACTATCAGCTTGCTTGTCCTTGTGATGCCTCTCTAAATGATACCTCAGTGAAGTTTTCTGTGCTGCTGCGTACTCACAGAATTCACATTTGTACGGTTTTTCACCTGAAACACAGTTTTATCAGTAAATAAGTTTGATACAGTTTGATTTGAAGTCTCGAATACAGTTAAAGACAAAGGAATAATGTGGACCACAAAACAGTAAAATAGATTTTTCTCTCCCCTTCCACATACTCATAATTCCCAAGCTCATCTAAACAACTACATCTTAATACTTTTGCTAACTACAGTGACATCTTCTGGCTACGATGAAGATCTTTTCCACACGTTGGCTATGTATGGAGATGGTAGCTGACAATATGTTTGGCAGAGATAAGCAAGAAGTATAGCTGTGGGTCAACTCCAACAATTTGAGGCCCCTGATCATACCACAAGTATGCTATTCAACAACACAAATGTTACAGTTCATCTATAAATAGAGCCGTTTCAAAAGAAACAGGGACGTACATTAACAGAAGCAGAAGGAGTTTCCCTGGCTATGAAAAACAGAAAGTCGAACTGAAAAATGCACAGCTTTTTCCCAGGTAGCAACAACTGACAGACAACCAACTTAATACTTGGGAAACAGGCTTTCAAAAAAACAACCAACCCAAAAAAAACCACCACCACCAAAAAACAAACACACCACCAACTTTTTGCTAGACTGCTAAAAAGTAGAAAGAATTAAAAGTTCTTTTAAAATATTGTATTCTTAACAGTAATTAATGTAATTGGCCCTACTCAAAAAAATTTGCACTTATGTAAATAATTAATTCCAATGTCAATTCGACTTTTTTTTTTTAACATTAGAGAAAACTTTGTTCTTAATATCAATAATTTTGAAGGCAACTTCGGTTTTTCTTAAGCAAAACCAAACATTCCATCCAACTGAATTCAGCAGACTTCCTTCCCCTCCCACAAAGGTGAAGCCCATTTACCTGTATGAGTTCGGAGATGAATATTGAGGTAATAATTTGAGCGAAAATACTTTCCACAATAGCTGCATTCTCTGGAGGCTCCAAGGTTTTTAACTTTTGCTCTTTCCAAACCATCTTCATTTTTATCTTTGGAAGAAAATATAGCTATATTATGAAGAGCAAATGTAAATTTGGAGTCTCATTTAGAACCATTAAGTAATTATCCTAACTGTATTTTTTAAGGAAAAACACAGAATGATGAACTGTTGTCAACTCCTACAGTCTACGAGTATCTTTTGTTCTGTGCTGCTGCACCCTTAGCAATCAAAGAGTAAAAGAGTTAAAAAGGTTTCTGTCTGTGTCAAGGAACACTGTGGTTAGTGACTGTAACAAAGAAGCCCCAGAGAACAAACAAGATGCAAAACTAGGTCTCAAAGAAGAAAAAAAAAAAAAATCATCTTTACTGACCTATAGGAATTTGATGGGGAATGGCCCATCTCAAAAATCATACCGGTTACAAACTGTATTCTTTTATTAAAGGGAGTGCTTCAACTACTAAGTGTGAGTGTGATGATTCAGACTATAAACTTGCTCTGTACACCATGGCAAGACACAGGAAGGTGTTTTGGAAGGAAGACAGAGAGGAAGATGGATTTTCCTATTAATTTTAACACTATTATTATTATTTCTATGTTAATCAATGGAGTGTCATGCCTGTATAACAACATCCTTAGACTTAACAAGTAATCTTCTTTCACTAGAAGCATTGACCCTTAAGCTTTGACAAATATGGGAGTAGGAAAGTGACAGGGTTTGCTGTTCTGTGAAACCTGTATTCTAGGAACAAATTCACAGGTTAAAAACGGGTTCCGCTCAAGTGTAAGCAGCCGGAGTTACCACTGGAGGGCGGCAAGTACGGCATAATGGCGAACAAGAAAGGGGAGAACGCTTACACACAATACACCATTCCAATTAACGTGATTTCTTTGGCAGGCTGAATTGAAAAAAACAACACGACAACTGCAGTAAAACAGCAAAGTCAAAGCTGCCTAGAAAGCAAACAGGAATAAGAAAGGAGATGATTTGCTCAACTAAGATGTTAAGATAGACAACAGATAGCTTAAAACGGTTCTCTGAAGTTCCTACATGTTGGAAAGCTTCTATATTGGAAATGCTAAGTATGGCTAAACTATGGCTGAGACAAGCCATAGCGGTTTTAAACAAACAGATAATGTCTCAATAAGCATGACTCAGCATCTCACAACAAAAGCTGTTGTAGTCTAGGATAAGACACTGAGAAACAAAACAAGCAAGTTAACATTAAGTAATAATTCCATTCCTTTGTTACCAGAGGCAAAATAAAGGGCTGCACATTACCAGAAATGGAAAAGTCAGTTGTGTGTGCCAGGACATTCTGTACGTTGTGTCTTTTCTTGAGATTATGCAAGTGTCTGTTCTTTCAATGTAGACTCCAAGCATGCCATACACAAGAGTGCTAGATTACCTAGAAGACTTTTTGCTATTCCTTCTTGTCCCCAGACATGCAATCTTTTTCAGTTAAGGAATCGTTCAGTATCACTTGTTTTTCTAAGACATGGTGATATGCAGAATTAATCCTGGGTAACATACAGACTGAGCTCATCTACTCTGTCCAAGCAAACTGTCAGCAGCCCTTCAAGCAAGAGCAGTTAAATGTCTACCTCTCTTACATACATGATATCCACATATTAATAGCCTGCACGCATGTCCTTGCACAACTAATTTAAAATTGTTGGTTCTGACATTCAGGCTTTCAAGTGACATACAGTTCAAAAGGAACATACAACCCGCAGGTTCACAGAAAAAGTCCGGAATTATTCATTACTTCTCAGGACCTTAACAACTGCTGGTATTGAGCACCGGACATTTTCTGCACTTTTAAGAAAGATGCAGGGAAAAAAGTGAAACTGCAATTATTTCTTCAGAAATACTATTTGTAAAAACACGTGCTGCTGGACAAGAAGGGATATGCAATACTCAAAAGCATCCAGTAAAACTAAGAATCTTGTTCTTGCAGGTGAGAGAGAGAAAGAAGGGCTAAGTAAACACTGACCTTTTCCTAGACTAATTGTTATTAAAAGTATTTCAGTAATTCCAGTAACCCGAATCATAACTGCAAGAAGGCCCAACACAACTTCAAAGATCTCAAAACAGTGGTGTCAGAACCTTTCTTTCCCTCTCATTTATCTCTCTTCCTCTTCCCCCAACACAGTATTTCGTACCTCTGGCCAGGTTTTAAAAAGATAACTGAGAAAGACAAGGTGCGTTCTTTGGCTCTGAAGAGTTCTTAAACAATGCAGTAACAGCTATTTCAAACTTATGTGCTCAAAATGCTACTCACCTAAATTAAGTGTTTCTGGAAGCCCATCTTCAGATCCATCTTCAGAGCCTCCTTCTATTCGTTCTCCTGCTCCACTTTCATCCAGACTCGCAATTATATCACAGCACGTCCTTGAAGCAGCTGAAGGCTCTCCATCAGTCCGCCTGTCTCTCTTATGTACTCTGGAATGCAGGACTAGCTGGTGGTATGTTCTGAAGGCTTTACCACACTCTGAACAGTGCGTTGGTTTCTCTTTGTTCTGGGATAACTTAGAATCCATCTCCATAGAAGGCACTTCACCACCATGATGTTTCAGTTTGGATAAGTTACCATTCCCTGTATAACTGCTGTTTTTATTTACTTTTGACTTCCCTGTAGTTTCAGTCTGGCTCCTTTTATTTGCATTCCAAATTTCACCAAGTTCTTCTTTATCAGAACATGAATCATCATTGTCTGTACTTCCTTCGTGCCCTAGTTCTTTAGTTTGGCCATGGCCAACTGCAACTTTACCTTTGGTAGCCAGCTGCCATGCTTGATATGTGTTGAAAGGATCTAGTTGAGCTATCCATTTCACAGGTTTTTTGTCATTTTCTGGAGCCACGTTTGGTCTTAAGTTCAAGAATCGGAAAAATTCCTCTCTTTGAGATGTTTCTTCTGCATTAGGTTCACCAGTCACTTGGGGGCTTTCACCACTGGGTACTGATTCTTTGGTGTGCACTTTACTGTGCTCAATTAGAGTCTCTTTATTGAGAAACAGAAAACCACAAACCATACAGATTTTGTAAGGTGATGTTACATTTTCAGTTACATGGTCCTGCACCACTTCATTTATTGTCATGGGGCTTTCGGAACTTTGTTGGTGCTTGTTTCTAGAACCAGGCTTCCCAGTATGCGTTCTCATGTGATTTTTGAGGAACCATGGCTCTTTAAATCTTCTACCACATACATTACACCAATACGTGAAGGAATCTTTATGCTTTTTCATGTGTGCCTCAACATCAAAAGCCTCATTAAATGTCTGTCCACAAACTTCACAACTAAGTTCTTCACTGTCCTTTTCATTGTTTGGCGAAGACAAGTTTTTTCTTACTTGACATTTATCTAGAGGACTAAGATATTCTGCTTCAACACGCAGGACAGCTGGTTCACAAAGAGTGGGCCTATGCTGAGTTAAAACATGCTTTCCAAGTTCTTCAGGATGTTTAAAAGTCTCGTCACAAAACATGCAGTCCAGAGGCATGCATCCCTCAGCTTGCATGAGAAACTTTTCTTGCAAGCTTTTGTAAGAAATTGTGTTTGTTCCTTTTATTGTCATTGAGGCATCATTATTCTCCATCTGTGCACCAACGGTACTGGCTATTCCATCCGGTCCATCCATATATGCCAAGAGAGGCTGAGTTGGCATGTTTCCTATGTTCTGTTCCCTATTATGTGTTTTAATGTAAGGTTTCAGTTCTTTGGGGATGCTCACTGATCACAATAAGGACACTTGTAAAGTTCTCCAACGTGTGCTTACAAGTCTGCTGAGATAAAAGACCTTTGCCAGGAAAAAAATTTTTTCCACAAGCAAAAAATTATTTCTTCTGCATTTTTATATGTGTTCACACATCACTGAAAGTGTATCCATCGGTTCTCAGTGACGGGATGAGGGCTTTTTGAACTATTTCTTGTGATTTTTCAAGTCGGTAGAAACAGTCAGTTGCACTTAGTTTTTATGTATAAACATTTCAAATAGTTGCATTGGGCGAAATACACTCAAGGACAAGTTCAGTGCCACAAAGAACTCCAGCACCTGGGCAAGAGAGAAAAGAGTCAGACTTTTCAAAAGAAAAAAGAAAGCTATTGTCTCCCAAATAATGAAAACAATAGGGCTGGAGAACTACCGAATGCTCTTGAACACAGAAGACATACTTCTAATAAACAGTCAATGAGGGACAGTTAGAAGGCACTCTGGTCACTTTTCTGCCCACTGCAGTTGAAATAGTATGGTTTTGAACATCTCTGCATTCCATTAGCTGGGCTTCTGTATTAAGATTGCTATATAAAAGCAGTTTTGTCTACTATCTATTTAAACCTATTCTTATCCAGTTACATAAAGCTGTCGAAACCATATTTCAATACATCCATTGCTGAATTCAGAACAAGTAAATGCAGCAAGCCAAAGTAACCTTTCCTCGAACCTGTGAAACCAGTGTTTAGAGGCACAATAATAGAACTTTGTTTGTTCTCCAAAGGCTGTTGAGCAAAAGACACACACACCCCCCCACTAGACAGCTTGGAATTAGCTTTCATAGTTCTGGTACACAGTGAGTGTCCAAACAAATCTTTGTATTCTATCTGTGGTGGAATCACTATTCACTGATTCCACCACTCAAAGCTTTTACTATCATCCCCAGATTTACAGCCTCTGTGGCAATTTAGGCTGGTACACCTAGATCATCTCAAAGTTTGAAATAAACTAATGATACTGTTTCGTGAACAGTAGCTTAGTATTTAAATCATCTAAGAGGCCAACTATTACACTGAAAAAGGAAATGCTTCGAATTTCAAATTGCATGGACCAAAAAAAAAGTGTACTTTATTGATTATACTCAAAAGGGAAGGTTTAAGATTCCACAAGATTAAAAAGGGTTATAATACAGTTAATCACAACTCCAGTTTACATCTCTAAGTCTGTAAGAATTATAACATCTGCTAGCAGCAATTAATGGCCACTACTCTTTGTGCTGTCAAATTATAGTACTGTGGAGCTCAGGACTCTGCTTGATCAAATTTTTGGATAAAGGAAAAGTCTACCAAACTAACAGAAGACCATATAAATTGAAGAGGAGTCATTCTGAGATGAGGCATGTTTCCCAATACATGAATATCTAATGAAAAGAATGCATTCAAAATTTGACTCAAACTTCAAACTTTCACAAATTATTTCATAAAAGACAGCTGGCCAGTGATTCACACTACTTGAATTCATATACACCAAAACACAACATGCTCTATAGCTCTTACAGCACAAGACAGTATTGGCAAAATAAGGTTTTAAAATTCACCTCAACTTCAACCTTTGCCTTGCTTTTATTTGGAAAAAATGGAAATATTTTGCTTCATTTCAGCCAAAGAAAGGGTAACAATTCAAACACAACCCTATAATATTTCAGGCTACAGAGATTTCCATGACAAGTAGTTGTAGCAGGTAAAGGTGTGGTTATGCAGCTGAGGCTACCCTCTCTGATCAGCAGTGTTAGTCAGACAGAAAACGGTGGTCTTAAGCCATGAAATCTTCAGTGATTTCAATGACCCCAACATGTTTGCCAAGGAGCAGACAACACTCCTGTCCTGCAAGGCCAACTCCTGGCAGAACCACTGTGTCTACCAGCTGTGGGACATTAATGGGACAGGATCTGTAACCAGCTGAAGTGGAAAGGCAACTTATCTACAGACCCAAGGGTTGATATGATGCCTTCGGCTATACTGGACACCTTTAGCTACCAGAACAGCCAAGCCCAGACAAGATAACCACCTGGGAGAGGAAACATGGCAACACATTGCTAGGAGTAATAGATCCAACATCTCAAACACTTTATCCACTCACTGCACTACAGCCTGGCCCCGAAAATACTCTTTGGTTTTAATTTGAAAGGTTAGTAGCTCCTTTTCCACCATCATGCAGACAACAAGATCCTCAAGTCCAGTGAAAATGGGTTAAAAAAAAAAAAAAAAGACAATACAGAGTAAAATTCTTGTTGCCAGTTTCTTGTCTTCCATTTTTTTCCCCTATCTCCAGAGCTTAGTGTCTTCATTGTCCAGTCATCTAATCCAGGTCTAGACAATGATCAAATCTAATACCAAGAAGCTTCCAGCTTTTTCTAAACACAAGTTGTTTCAGGACTGGGCCAAAGACTCATCACATGCTAAGTTAAACATGAATGGAGGGATCTTGGGGAGTAGGGTACAGAGTGTAAGAAGAAACAAGCCACTGCCTGACAGCTTGATGGCAACAGAACCTGAATTTTCTGCAGCCAAAGTCTCTTTTCTAACTATGCCCTTTATCCCCATTTTCAGTTTTATCACTGCCGTGATTAACACTTCCTCTCTGCATAATGACTCAAAAATCTTTTGTAACAGGTAGGTTCAGTCTATGGTGCCACACTTCTGAACTGCTTCTACTGCAGCCTTTGCTTTTGCCTTTCTACCTTCCCCATTCAGTTTTGACTTTCTGGCTTTCACTCCCCCCCTACAGGCAGGTGAGGAAGCTATAACAAAAGTTTGAATCTGAAGTACTCAATAAGCCTCCCCTTTTGTAAAGCATAAGGAAAAACATATCAAAGGATGCTGGTTCGCATGTTTAACTTCATGTTTCAACTTGCCATTTTGTTCTATTTCTACTGTAGTTTTCAGAGGGTTTTTTTACACAACAGGGTAACACGCTGCGGCAAAGCTCATGTGCATAAATGGTGACTATCTGCCTGAAAATAATTCGTTTGCAAACCAAACAGCAACTTTGAAAGACTCCTGAACACCTATAATGAATATCCAGGCAAGAAAAAAATTGAACAAACTTAAGAGTTTACTGCATTTACTTTCAGAGCCACAGGTAAGCGCTCTGCAACAATAAGAATCATCCTACAAAAAGGCCACAGGCATTTCTGGGGTATGAAGTCAGAGCCAAACACCAGTGCCGAAAGTCCCACATACTGAATTGCTGAGATTCATCATCAACTATTTCCTCACTAGTGCCTACAAATACAGAAAAAGACAATTACTCTTTATTACGCTTCCACTTTGTGGCCTTACAACATATACACCATACAGCAACAAGAATTGCATTCTGGGATGAGGGTAGCAAAGACACCCTGGTAACAGGGACCACCACACGTGGTTCTACTCAAACCTAACCTAGGATAATACAAACATTCTGTAGAAGCCACATGCTTCCAGACTTATTAGAATTTAAGCGGTAGGCATAGATCAAATCTATGGAAGGCCTAGGCTGGTTACTAACGTGTGAAAAATCCACCTCAATCAATAACATTTTCTCTGGTAAGCCCTTTGAAAACAGGTGTTTCAATCTCATCTTATTTAAATGTATCAAAACAGACATTACTCAGCTGTCTAAAAAACAAAACCTATCCTCACAACTGCACATATAAATACAGAGGACAAACCTGAATGCATGGATCACGAGAGGAGTTTGGATCCAAATTTTATTGGGTATCAATAGGTTTGAACAAGCCCATTGGAGACTTTTTCCATGGCTCTTCAAAGCACTTTACGTATCTCCACCAACCTGACCCATGTCAGCTGCTGAATGCTTTTCAGACTTTCACTGTTTTTAATAGGAGGCTCTGAACACTTTTGAAGAGCTGACCATAGCTCATCCTTTAGGCAGCATTGCAAAGCAGAGCGAGATATTCCTGCTTAAGAAATCTGAAATGATTATTTGCAGTTCAGGCAACTATTGTTCTTGGATATACCATCATATGCAGGAGATAGTACCTATAGACTGAAAAAAAAATTGCTGGTAGCATTTCTGAAAAAAAGCTGCAAAGGCAACTAGAAGAAAAGAGATAATGCTACTAGAGTCAGCAGGTGAGCTACAAAGCTCTAGTCTTATTTTTGTATCTGGCGATTACACACCTCACCGATTAGATATGTCTTTTACCAGTAGGCATGGTTTTACACTCTCACTGTTTAGACAAGCTAGCACACATTAAAACTACAAACCAAATATCTGCACTAGGATTTTATCTATTATTAACAAAACCTTTCTTCCTAGTGAAGATAATAATATGCTTTGGATTTGAGGACCAAAAATGCTGATTAATAACATTCCTGATATCCAAAACCCTGTAGGCAGCAGCACAACCATCAAGAGTTGCCTTAATTCTGTATGATTGCTTCCTTGGGAAAGTGGACAACCTGCAGTTTTGATGAGCACTGTAACTATTTGTGGCTGAAGGTCTGTATATTAGCTCAACAAAAAAAAATACAGTATCTGGGGATTCTTCTGTTGGCTTTCACTTTCAGAAGACAAAAGAACAGATACGACACACCAGTATCAGTCAGAGATATTGAGTAAAGGAACAGAACAAAACAGGAAATCCTTCCTTCCAATAGCTGAAAAGCAATAAATTTGCTACAGATTAACTCAAGGTTGAAAAAGAATGGCTATCCCTCCTCACAATAAAATGAGTCAAAAAGTCTTGACTTCTGACTCTCCTATCCATCTGTAAAGGTCAACACACATCTCGCACCAGAGACCAAGGCCCACATGTTCCATGGTTGCTGCAGCTCCCTTGAGGTGAAGGAGCAGGGACAGAGGAACCTGCCTTGCTCAGCACACCTGGACACTTCCTAGAGTGGTACCGTCCAGAAGTGACAAATTCTTCTCAACTGCAGGCTGCCATC